AGTGCTTGACTTTCAAACARTATTAGGGTCACATGCATGGATTAATCAAGTTTATTTGTTAATATTGTGTTGTCCTCTTAAAATAAATTGGGTTTTCCATTCAGAGAAAACCAGTTGTGATGCATATTGTGCTCTTAAATATTGATGAAATAATGTTTGGTAGTCAAAAATGTTGATTTGTCTGCTSTCCATGAGATAACTTGCTYAAGAAATATCACGTTATGAATTTGTTTAAGGCTTCAAGGCTTGGCAGATTCATTGGTAGAAACGTTTGTCAGTCATGGAATCATGCAGCGTGAATATGACAGGGTGAAATTACATGCTACAATCATGAATAGTAAACTTCATTCAGGTTTTCAAGAATCATTGACTGCAGCATCAGATTCATGGAGAAGACCTAAAGAAGCACCAKCACGTAGGGAAAACTATGCATTTGATGCAAGAAATATTGTAGAGGTAAACAAAGAGTGCTGCTCCATGCCATGTTGGACTATAAAATTTCCTTGKAATGAAGAGTAATGAACTGAAYRTATTTTTAAATAGTTGTGTAGGAGCTCTTTGGCAGTCATGTCAATCTACTTGCCTTCCCCTAGGTGTTATAATCAATAAAACATTGATAAAAGATGCAAAATAAAAAATAAAAAAATAAATGAATCAAATGAGCTAATAAGATAATATGGGGTAATAGAAAAATGAAGAATAGGAGTGAAGGGAAAATAAAATGAATGGATGAATATTTGAATAATGAATGGTTACATGATACAATATTGTAATAATCACTTTGTTTATTTTACAGTTATATAAAGACTTTGATTTTGGAACATATCATCTGRCAGAAATCCACATATCAAAAAGAGGGAGTTATGATTCACAGGGACATTACACATCTGAGATCTCAGTGCCTCTGCCATAGATGTCTGCAATGCTGGGGGTCTGGGGATCCAGAAAAACAACAGATTACAGCATTGCATGCCATAGTTATAGATGATGGCATTAGAAATTGACGTAAATGTACAGTATTTTGCAAACATTCTGTAAAAGTTATGGAGTTTCCATCGCCTTTTCAGTGCMCTCATAGTCTATATCTAAGATATTGATGACGTTTATTGTTACATTGTGTAACGTTTTTGCAAAACGCTGTATAAAATGATTTTGTCAATGATTAAAGATAACTACAGATGGAGGTCGAAATATTAAAACCAAACACTATGAGGGCCATTACAGGGATCTCCTCGCTAGAGTAATTATGTTTTAAGTTTCTTTTTTTCTTCCATTCCATTCCTCCATCTAGACCATCTGTTATCGACAATAAAACGTTACTCTGTTCTGTATCGTATGTCCTTTTCCCGTGCCTGATTTTGGAAATATCCCTGGTGCAGTTATTTTCGGATCTTCGCTTTCTTTGGACATGAAAAAGAGGTCAAGGATGAGCTATTTCGTGAAACTRCAATGACCCGCCGACCTCTRAAAATTGGTGTATTTGTGCCCAGATATGAATATACTAGTAATGCCGCATGTCGCTCTTACAARTGTTGCAGGGATGTCAACCTCCAAACTTTATAGATCTGGAAAAATTGCCTCGATTATGTGTATGGCGTCACACCATGTGAATGACGGCATAAATGATGTCATATTCTGTTTCAACCAATGGGATTAGACATTGCGTAATCAGTTTATATATTTTTCATGCGCGAGCATACGTRAGGAGCGCCTATAGGTATTTCGTTCCAGGAAACGCGACATAATGCATTGAAAGTTTTTGAAAATAAAAATCTACAGCGATGAAAATATCGTGTGCATCCGGGAGATTTAGGTCTAAAATCTTGAGACCGGGAGACTCGATCTAAAATCGGGAGTCTCCCGGCAAATCCGGGAGAGTTGACGTCGCTKGTGACTGTTGTCAAAGATAAATCACTATGACTCCACCTCATCAAACTGGCTCCACGCACGCGCCCCCTTGTCAATCGAATAATGCCTTTGCACGCAGTTCCTTCGGCCCTGTGTTCAGGATCATGTATGTCAGGATGGTCGGTCTGCAAGAAAGGTCTCAAATTTCTGAAAAATGTGACCACCGTACACTGCAGTCCCTGAAACGAGTTTTCGTGTACTTTTTATGATATTGGSACAGTGTAGGAGTGTTATCTTACCCTGCGAGCAGAGCAATTTTACACACAAAAAAGTTGGATCAAAATACGACTGTGTCAGGGTTCATGTTCAGGAAGGAGTTACACTCCTTAAAAAATCGTTTGAAATAGACTTAAAGGGAGTTTATCCAGTTTTGGGCTCCCTGTTTCAGGATATTTTTCGAAAAATCAATAAAAATAATTTTAAACTGATAACTCACAAATAACCTGCATCTAGTTGACAATTGATATTAGAGTACGCCCYTCTCCCACTTGCTAATATGTCAAACCTCTATGATAATCCTTTACGTGGGCAAATCCCATGCATGTCAGGGCGTGGCATATGTATAGTTAATTCACATTTCAGGAGTGCTGGAGATTTGGGTTTGTTCGATTTTAAATTTCATGATAGAATCCTATTAATTTTGCTRCAATTAGCAAGAAAAAAAGAAGAAAAAAGAAAAAGAAAAGAAGCACGTAATATAGCTAGGACTCGAACTCACGACAAAAAGATTCGAAAAAGTTTGGGACGATTCCCCCGAGACATTCTGTGAAGCTGAGGCGTCGAATCGATTTACATTCCGGTTAGAGATTTCGGCTCTTCCATGCTATCCCGATAATTGGTCCTAACTTCGCGCTAACTAAAAAGCCAGTGAGGGAGAAGCTATCCGGCCCCTAGACACTGATGGATAACCCCTTGCACTAACTAGGCAACTATCGAAAGTATAATGTCAAATTGGGGTAGTCTATTCGGTGAAAGTGCCAAGTGGTCTATTATTATGTAAATGAGCGTGGTCCAGTGGCTCAAACGGTTAAGGCGCTGTCAGTTCAATCCAAAGGACATGGGGTCGAATTCTGTTGGGGCGTCAAGTTTATCTTCAGATATGTTCATCAATTTCATTTTAAACAGATGTTCTTATACCTTTTATTCTCATTATCATCTTATTCATTTCATTTAATTGCTTTTTTTACCAGAATATTGTATCCGATCCAAATGCAAAAAATGTAAAATATAGCTCAATTCCCAAGTCCTCCTAGCCTGTCAATGAGCGACTGACGTCACGCAAATCCGTCCAAATTGCGCAAGCGCAGATTGAGCCATCGGTTTTGACGTGGCTGGATTTTTACCCGGTTTCTCAAGAAAATCATATTTTATGCCCAAAAATATAACATTTTTTATGACTTAAGCCCTCCGGTAGAATTCTTTAGTTAACAATGTCTTCGGACTTTGGAAATCCGCTTAGGAAGTTCAAGCTTGTGTTTTTGGGAGAGCAAAGCGGTGAGTCTAAAATGGCGGACAGGAGTGACCCAACGTCAAACTGTAGTGGTTCTATCTTGTTGTTTCCTGTCTAAATTGCATTTCTGATCTTATCCACAGTTGGTAAAACGTCTCTAATCACTAGGTTTATGTATGATAGCTTTGATAACACTTATCAGGTACGTTGAGCGAACTTTATGTCATCCAACTCGAAGTGATTCTCGTAGTTGATCTTTTAAGACTTGTTGTTTAAATTTGCAAGCTCAATTTGATAACGTTAGGTTTATATAAAATGTGTACAGGTATTAGGTGTACAATGCAAGATTCCAGTTATACAAGCTATATATTTTTTTATACATTACCAGATCATTTCCTTAAACTCACTTTGCAGCTGTATTATGCAGTGCAAGTTTCGTATCCCCTCAAGAAATAACTTATTGTCAATGTTTTGTATTCATTCATAATTTACAAGCCCACTTGTCTAATCTTAAAGTAATAGTATTTGGTTCGCTAAAGGTTCAAGACATCTAGTTGTGTTTGAAAAGGAACTTCCAAAATAACTTCATTTCCTTTGCCTTCCAATTAGAGAAATACCCAGACGTGTCCATGAACCCTGACACAGTCGTATTTGATATCCAATTTTTGTGTAAAATTGATAAAAGCCATTGTCAACAATGTCTTCAAATGTGCAAATATCATAAAATTCATTAATACCCTGTGCATTAGATATACATATATTACACCCATATATAATAAACATTTCTTGGTTGGAGATGTTTTTTGTTTTTTAACACTGTTTGACTTTGTGTCTATTGATCATTGTTTTTTCCTCTCTCCCTGTTGAGGGATTCATTAACCTGGCGATCTTCATGTCTGGTTCCCAAAACAAATGGCAAATGGTAGATTACCAGTAATAACGTAACCAGTTTTATTTATTTTAGGCAACTATTGGAATTGACTTTTTGTCAAAAACAATGTATTTGGAAGATCGAACTGTAAGTAAAATAAAAATAGTGATCTTCATGATTTGAATGTTATCTATTTTATTAATTCAGCTTCTAGTGATTTAATATCAAATAAATGTCTAGCCTCCATCACATTTGGAAAAACAAAAACAAACAAACAGAAAACAGTTGTTGTGTCTGTCCATGTCACAAAAACAATAAGGCCCCGGCRTTTCAGATGTCAATCTTTTGCCACGTCTAATCTAATTGCTTGCATGCAGTTCTCGGGAAGTTTTCAGTCTACATCGATTGATATTTACAGATTATAGTACTTAAGTTCGTCCAACTGAACAAAATCTACTATATATGTCAATAAATTCAGAGTTGAAAATGCTCATAAACTCAACTCTGCGAACCAATTACATTAGACTTGCAAAAAAGATTGACGTCTGAAACGGGCCTAAGTTGCAAATCCATTGTATTATCCAATCAGAAGCATACTTTTGAAAWTAGAAAGGCCATTGAACATGATATGATGCATGACACAGATGGGCATTAAGAGAGTTTTGATGCAATGCAGGGTGTGATAACAATAAAATTTACTTTTTATTAGAATTATTATACAATCCGATGGACATATTACAGTGCGAATCGAAAAACCGTGGGCGCCTAGAAATATTTCGGGAATGTGTACTTGAAAAGTGACTTTAGCAGACATATAAGAAAACATGATGAAAAAAACATAAATGGACAAACTTTGTGTTTATTCTAAACAACAAAATTATACTATTTGTGAGCTTTTACAGGCTGTATTTTGGTGATAAACTGGTTTTATTTATTTGTAACGTTGAAGTTTTGATTAAATTTGCACTTGAAAATGTACTTGATGACGGTTAATCTCACTTCTGATTGGTCAATAAACAATAAGCATTCCCGAAATATTTCTAAGCAGCCACGGTTTTTCGATTCGCACTGTAAAAATGCTATTGTACTTACAGTACTCTGTGATCATATTTGAAATGTCCTTAGGTTAGATTACAGTTATGGGATACAGCTGGACAAGAGCGTTTCCGTAGCTTAATACCAAGTTATATCAGAGACTCTAGTGTAGCTGTTGTAGTTTATGATATTACAAGTAAGTTGAGTACCTGATCTATCAACCTCTGACAGATTATTTGAATAAGTCTCTGTTGTATCTTTTTGTTTTGCTTTTTCCAAAATTAAGATTTTTAAAGATTCATCTTGTTTGCAGATTACAATTCATTTCAACAAACTTCAAAATGGATAGACGATGTGCGAACAGAAAGAGGCAATGATGTTATTATAATGTTAGTTGGAAATAAAACAGATTTGTCTGATAAAAGGTTGGTAAGATTGCTCTTGATGCTCTTTACCTCAAAGGCTCATCTTGATGAAATGTTTATTAAATGTTGCTAGATATTAACAACATCTTTACCAATTCCAACATATTGTTTAGAAAATCAGAGTTAATGCAACTCCTTGAAATCCTTGAAGAGCCCTGGAATTGAAAACTCCATTTCATGGGCACTTGAAAATCAGGAAAACTCTAAACTCCTGGGAAAACTCATTRAATTCGATGCAATATACTACTGTTTGAAAGTTTTTGATTGAAATGTGAAGAGCTTTGTGACAATGTACTAGTAATAATATCATACTAACTTATTATTGGGAAAAAATCAAGAAACATTGCAATCTTAAAATATRAAAAATCGAAATCCTTGAAAATTGACTTTTTGTACTTAAAATAAAGTACTTAAAAAGTCCTGGAACTTGGTGATGAAAACATAGGATGACCCTGTAAATTATGTTGTTTGGCCACTAAAATTGTTGTTAATGCTGTTAAGGCGGATTTACAGGATGCAATTATTGAGCGCCACTTGAAGTGTACATGTCATAGGCTTGTGTAGCAATGGTTCAAAGGCTTGACACAAGTCATAGTTCACACGCCTCTAGTCTTAGAGCCAATTACACAGTATGATTTTGTTGTGTATGTCAAGTCACCTGCTACAGTCGTATAATGTAAAACAGCATCATTTCTTTAAGAACTATGTATTTATATCTTTGAAATTCCTCCAGGCAAGTAACTACAGAGGAAGGGGAACGAAAAGCCAAAGAATTAAATGTGATGTTTATAGAAACTAGTGCAAAGGCAGGATACAATGTCAAGCAGGTGAGCATCATGATCTTTTTTTTTGGAAAACCTTGTTTCTTCTTTTTCTTTTCTTTTCTTTTTTTTTTTCTTTCTTTCTCTTTTTTTTTCTGCATCTCATGCATTTTGTTTATGATTGTGATTTGAAGTCAAAACATTTCTKTCTTTTCAAATGCTTTCATTATCCCACAAACCATTTGGTATATGTCCCAGCCAATCACACAGCTGTTATAGTTCCTCATTAAAAGTCAAGAAGTCAATCCTCAAACATATATTACCTGTGATATTGAATATAATGCTCTTTTAGAATTGGATTGACATGTTGATGATAATTGCTAAGAATATTGTGCATGTGTTTGTTATCCTTGTCTCTCATCACATTGAACATTAATAAATTTTCAAGATAGTGCTTTTAAAAATAGTACACTTGAAAATGAGACAGTCTGAAGCTAACTTAACTCTTATAATTTAATACCTCTGGCGTTGCCTTGCTGCTGAAGACTTCTAATTCATCGTTATACATTGTACAATATGTGCATCCTCTCTACTATATATTATAGCTTTGAGATTGTCCAAGATGCGTCATTACAAGCTGTATTTATTGATACAAATGGATATTTAATGTATTTTGTTGAGTAATGTTCAAACTTATTCAAATAACTAAGCATAAATATAATACATTCAGAGAGAATAATCATGACATCATTGAAATCATGATAGTATTTAGTTTATTTATAACTTCAATCATAACAGGAAAKCTGTACTCAAGGAATCTTGGACTTTGACCTTGTTGGTTATTTTAGGAATTAAGGAATTTAACTATGATTATGATTTCATAAAATATCTCTTATTTTCCAAACTTTTTTCTGTGATCAGTACTAATTTAAATGGGTGTGTAAGACAGCCAACCTAAAATATGATTGGAATCAATGGACAAATTGTAAACAACCAGAACAGTCACTACAAATAAACCCTTTATTTTTTCCTTGTAAACTAAAATGCCTGATATAACCAATATAACTTATTAAAACACAATTTGCATCAATAAGAACCAAAGTGATTGAAAATTAAGAGCTGATTTGTGTCAGAGCATAAGAAAATTGTCCTGATTCCCAAATGATCTTGCCAGGAACACTGACCTTTACCAGCCTACAAGTCTATTTCTGTACATACWTAGCCTGACTTCATGCAGTGCTATACTGTGAATAGCGCACTTTAACAGCAAGCATTTTGTGAGTGGAGAGTTTTATTGAKTTTTGTTGATCAGAGATGCCATTATTCTGTTGGGTTGTAATGGGTTCTTAAACTTTAAACTTTTAAATTGGGGGCTTTCAAGCTGGCTGGAAATGTTAAGTTTGCTTGTAATATTCCTATAAAAGGATATTTACTTTGCTCTAAAAGGTTTATACAAGATCAATATCATTTTGTTTTGTTCTGTAATTGTAGCAATGTGCACCAGAAAAATGTCATCAGTTTTAGTAATTTTAGCTTCAGTTTTTTGTTTTTTTTTTTTCACTTGTGTTTTAGGCTTGAATTTTCATTTGATTTTACCATGGTTCCAAAGGTTTGGCTTGTATTCCATAACTTGTTTTAATATTAGAGATGCATAGCAGGTAGACATTTCCATTAATTGATTTAAGCTTGACATGTTTGACAGCTAAAGAATACTGCATGAGTGTGAAAAAATGCTTGAAAAAATTGATTATTAAGATGTTTTCATGCTTTGCATCTTGAAAAGAAAAATATGTAAGGAAATCGAAACCAAGCTTATAGAACCAGGGTAATTTCCTTTCTGTTCAAATATTTTTTTATTTTCTGTTAACTTACACTGCTGTAWGTTCCATTATAATAATAGTTATCATTATTTTTATGATAACAGCTTATTGCTTTTTTATAAATTCATGCTAATATTTTAGTTATCAACTGGCATCAAGTAGATTTTTTCTGAAACATTTGAGAATGTGCTTATGAATGTGAAAAGTGTGATTGGAAATAAAAAATAGGAAAGAATGAATGAGTGAATATCCCACTGAAAGTCTCACTGAAGTTATTCTTAAATTTAAGTGAGACTTCTGTTAAAAATGTCATTGGCTGTACTGTTCAGCTATTCAATAAACCTTTTGTCTTGATTTTCAATCATTTTCTAATCTAAACAACTTGTGTTCACATTATTCTTGTTGATCAGTTGATAATTAATCCTTAARGTAACTGAATAATACAATAACAGCAAAGAAAAGTACAGCTTTYTAATGCATAATATTTGCATGTGTATATACTGTAACTTGGCATCTCTGATGGTGGGTTTTTGTTTTGTTTGTGTGTAGCTTTTCAGGAGAGTTGCTGCTGCGCTACCAGGAATGGAAAGTACTACAGACAAGACTAATAAGGAGGACCTGATAGAAGTAAAACTTAAGGACACTCCACAAGAACCACCCCAACAGACTGGGGGATGTTTCTGTTAGGTTTAACCTAACTTTAGCCAACCTCCTTGTAGCCAAAGTACGATATACAAACAACCAGCTGCTTGCAAGCATGAATTACCATCAAGTTTAAGCATTAGTGACTTCTGTTATTTGCTGACAGTAGCTTTGTTGATAGAATATCTGGTTAACATTGAATATATGAAGAAATGAACCCTTGACAATTTCAATACTCCATATTTCGATTCCCAGCACCATCTTGAAAGGTAGTTTGCATCAAAACAAAACATTGGTTGTGCTTGCCATGATAGATACCTGTGAATGATACCTTAGGTATAAATGGACGTTATCTTTCACTGCATGTTGGACTCGTGTGATGTCTCAATTACCTTTCACGGTGGTGCTGGGAAATGTAGAATGGAGTAATGCATTGCACAGTGCAGATTTTATTGTCAAGCATTTAAACGATATTATTTGGTTAAGCTGAGAGGGAAGATTGTAGTTAATTTGTAAAATAGTGAGAGCAAACAARGATTTGTTGTTTTATACAAAATTAACGGTAACCAGTACAATCAAAACTGAATGAATGTGAATTATTGATTGATTTTATTGACCACACKGTCAAATTCTTCAAATAGAAACCTGGCAAGGATATAGGAAATGAAATGAAACAAACGGCAAAAAGCTATTCTGGTGTGTATCACACATGAACTAGCAGAGGTTGGTTAAAGTAGCCAAGAATGTCAACCCTCGTAATCTAAAAACAAATTTTTTGGATTTTGTTCCAAAACATATTTTTATGTGCAAAGCTAGGCAGTTGCAATCATAGCAATAAAATCTAATGACCTGTGAAGTACTGTGAGTATTTACATTAAATTTAACTGTCATATCTTGTTTACTTGGGAAGTCATAGCACAAAACATGGGAAATTGGGATTTTACTAGTTAGTAATAAGCAATGTAGTACCAAGGCAAGTAAAACTACTTGTAGAATAGTAGTCTCTTTTTGCAGTTGTTGTACAAGGCTTCTTCACAGGTCTTTCCAAACCCCCCAACCCCCTCCCTCCACACCTGGGAACAAGACTCGTAACAGCTTCAAGAGGAAACTGAAGCACACTAATAGCTTATTGATTATACTTTAGTTCTCTTGTATTCTGTCTTAACATGATATCAAATGTATATTTTGCATTTTACTAATTACCGCTCTCTGACGAAGTGTTAATGAAAACAAAYTCGACCAACAGATCTCTTTATTTTGTGTCAAGTGTTATTTGAGCCTCCACAAAGTAATTACCAAAGGAAACAACCCATGYATTCGATTCCTTTGTGGAAAACGCAAGTTACAYATTGTACACGGRAATCTCAAAATATTCATCTTTCTGCGATAAGGAAACATGCGCACCGCAGAAATCATTAAATTRCCTTTAATACATATGTTTATTCCGCTCAGCTTTATAGGAAGGTAGCATCAGAGCTCCCCTCCGAAAAATACGACCTCCCTGACTGGGATGCCGACGGAAGTGACGTCATCCATGTCCCACCGCTGCAAGAAGAAAAACCGCCAGAAGAGGAAGCGTACGGATGTGGCTGCTGAAACAATGTATTAGTCTTTTGCTCGATACTGAGCATATTGGAGGGCTTCATGAAAGTATTTAAATAACTAACAGTAATAGTGTTAATAAAACAATGTCCAAATCTTTAAATTCAGCAATTCCACCTGTGTTGAATAYTAAAGGTTAAAATTACCTGGGCAKCGTTGCGATTATTCTTGTTAAATATACAATAAACTATTGCCGGCACTAGTGTTGTTTATAATGTCATATAGAAGGCTCCTTTGATCCATGCAAACGGCACAACTAACTCATAACGCGACTTCTCCACTCTTCCCTTCAGCAGATTCAGCATGTTCAGTTTTTCCTCCTCTATATTTTGTTTCTTTTCCTTCTTCCCCTTCTCTCTTTTTTTGTTTGTTTGTTTATTTATTTTTTGCGTTTTCTTTAAATCTTTTTCTCTACACTAGCATACATTTTTTTCTTTCTATTTCCATTTTCGAGCTTCAATCGCCACGTTTTCAGTGCCGAAAACAGGCGTCACAAAGGGGCGTGTCTATAACTCAGAAAMAAAATAAGGTATAGGGTTGCGGAAAATGAAATTTCTTTCATACTTCAACGCTGTTTGAATATTGTTTTCCAGGACAACCTCGTTCCCTGGCCTTTATCCCTTCGCTTGAGGTCAGTTCTGACCCAAAGCGAAGGAATAAAGATCCTGGGATTGAACGTGAGGTTGTTTCCACGCGTCCCATTCAGATTTACTAAGATCTGACTAGTCACCGTAATCCGACGTTGTATTTACTTACGACTCAAATACTAAAAAATGAGGAAAGTTGTCATATCAAATTTGTTCCATGGACTACTGAATGTAACGATGAGGCCTGAGAGTGGACTACAAGTTGATAGCCCACGATCGTGACCATACTCTGCCGAATCATAATCAGAAGATTTTGGCCTTTTTATGAATGGCTAATTTTTGAGCTTCCATGGATTTGCTTACGACATAGATACATTATACTGGACAAAAATAGCAACACTCGGATCATGAGCAAATGAAATCGAAATAGATTACGCAACAGATGCTATTTTTAGTGGCAAAAAATTCAAGTATCCCCAATTCTGAATAGCTATATTGAACTATGGCTATTCAGGATAGTTTGGTGAACAAAGAGGTAGTGGACTCCTGTATATTTGCTATACGGGGACGTGCCGCTGGCCAGGGTATGGTTTTTGGCTGCTGTCTTAAACAGGATATACATTTCACTCGAAATTGTCTTAAATCGATAAAAGACCGATATAATTTTTTTTGTGTGTCTTGGACAGGGTAATATTTTCATAAGAAATACCGTTGCAATAGTAGAAATACCGTTTCACTATACCAGGATTAACGTGTTATCAAAAACTTCTTATTGTCTTTGATTTAATTGCAGTTTTGATGGTTGCGACGTAAATAGCGATTCCGTATTCCCCCCGGGAGTGGACTACGAGTGATAGTCCATAAGGACGTACTCTAGGTCATAGTTATGTCTAGGCCGAATGGACTATCAACTCGTAACGCTCACTAGACTCTGATGGTCTAATTGTTTTGGCGTCCAGCAAGATAAGGCAAATTTGACAAAATCGGTGTTCCGGTTTCGATAATGACAAAGTATTCCAATCCACTATTTCTTTTTAAGTATTCTCAGTTATTCTTACTTCTAGCAACCCCGAGACAAAAGACTGCTAAGTAAAAACTCTTTTCGCTTTGACTCTGGTCAAACGATAGTCCAGTCCAGCGCGTCCTGGAGAGAGAGAGAGAGCGAAAAGAGGCCAGGATTGGGCTAGTCAAACGAGAAATCGACCATACTACATTAGGCAATCAAAATGCTARATTTGTATTTAATCCATTGTCATACAGTAGTCAATTACTGAATAAAGTTTGTTTGTTTGATCYCCTCTGTTTTTTCGTTGTCAGGGTTACTAACTGTGGACATGTCTTCTGGTTCAATGATAACGACTTATTATTGGTGGGAACTAGCGGTAAACTAGTGTGAACTGCGTCAGTGTTTCTAAAGAAACAGTTGTGTAAAAAGATCTATTAAWCAACGTAAAAACAACTTACTGACGTTACGGACTTATTATTAGCTACTTACTACCCCACACAATAAAGACTAAGACACAGTTGGCGCATTTGGTCTCCTGTGTGCTTTTCTTTAATTGTGTCGCATGTCTTTGTTGGTTCAGTGATAACTACTATCATTGACAATCATTTGACCACGAGGTCGAATGGAATACAAGTTAATAGTGGCATGAGGACGTACTCGGTCCGTACTCTGGACTATCACAAATCCAACATTCTGATTGGCTACCTGACTCATGGTCTATTCATGTAGAGTGAAACGGTCCGTGAAATATATATTACACTAACACACCTTTGTAGCTCAAATTGCATTTTGTTTTTGTCTATCTGACTATCAGACTTGAATGTTCAACATCAGTTTAATTAAAACTGKTTTTTTTACGATATCAAATCTAACGGCACTAAAGCTAAGCCACCGCTGAGCCACACCATAGTCGCATGAAGAATAGCGAAAATAGTCGAGGAAATKCCGAAAAAAGTTGTTTTTGAGTTCATTTTCCAATTTTTTCCTGAATAGTTAAGGATATTTCTAAAATAGCGGGGGCGGATTCAGTATTTTTCATGGAAACAAAGTCAATGTCATTCAAGGTCATACACATCGCGAAATTCTAAAGACTGTAGCCATTAAAACAATTCAATATAATCGATAATTCAGATTACTGTGGACAATCYAGAATTTTGGATTTTAGCCATTTTTCAATTACCGTTAGAATTAGATGATTTTTAAAACTTTTGGGGAACAAAATAGGGGTGGGGGAGGAGGGAAGGGTCGCAAAATCCTCCCTTGTATTGAACACTTAGAACACTCCGTTTATCCGAGGTGTAATTGTTTTAAATTAGCTACTAAATAGAGACTATTTGTTAGTAAACTATTTTGATTTTGTAATTTCATGGTTCTYGAGTTCAGTCATGTAACTGTAGCATCAGCCTTAATACTCCTATCCGGCCGGGTATCCGGCTACTGATCCTTATYCAGAGCATAAAATCCAAACAAAGTCTATAGAGTGCATAGAGGACTTTATCCTGAGAAAATATTTCGTACAAACGGCCGCAAATAGCTGGAAAACAATCAGGGTCCGGATCTGGTCCAAGAAATATTAAAAATCGTGCAAAGTTATAGATTCCGTGCGCCTGAGGCRCTGTTGACCGGATGACGTCACAAAGTTAGAAGTTACGTAATTCAAATCAGTTCTTTTACTCTTCCAAAAAAAAATTGTGGTGAGAATTTGCATAAAATAGAACGGGTCTTGCAAAAAAGTGATATTTTTTAGTAATAGCGAGAGGTGTTGAGGTGGAAGAGGAGTGTTGCATTTTGTAAACAAATTTGTAAACGCACATGTAGTAACCTGCGCGCGCAGATTGTGAATTGTCTGACGAACGACTGGCGTGGACTTTGCACCGTTTCTCCCCATAAAAGACTTGGATCTAACTGAATATCTACCCAGAAACGAGAGGAAACTTACGCTAAGATAATGGAGCGTTCACTGGTCGAAAGTGTGTTTTTGTTCAGTTTAAATGTTGCGGGTTGGTTTTGGGGTGTTGTTAGCTTTGTGCCTTGGTACTACTTGACAGGAAGGCAAAATCTCGTAAGAAGACAGAAAATTCAAGCCAAACCAACTAGCCCAGTGCCGGGTGCTCCATATCGAGATGTAGAACACTTTGATGCTTTAGTTACTACTCTGTATAAAGGAATAACCACCATGGACCAGTTGTTTAGGTAAGAGAGTAAATCCAAATACAACCTCGCTTCGTGAATGGACTAGTTCTTCACTGTCTTAACTTTAGGCTGATATCCTATTTTTTTCTTGATTGCACACAAATTACGAGAAAAATCGTTTCGAAATGTCGAAAGCGATTTATCAAGGAGCTTATTTTGTGTCTGGGAATCTCATTTGCGACATAACAATGAATTATAAGTTAAAATTCGAATATTGCTAATTTCATTGAGCTTTTTCTATGTTTTGTATTCGTTGTCCCACCTATATTTGTCRAATAATGTTCTTCTGTGATTGCAAAGCCTTTTGGCAGGTAGTTGTAGTAATGGTGGGACCTTGTAGTATCGTAGTAGTCTTGAGTAATGCAATAAGTTAAAAACGCTTTTGCTCAATCCTTCATGGGCCATCAAATAAGGTATGAAATTCATAAAAGTACTATTATCATATTTTAATTTTGATAGCTAATATATGCAATCCAAGGCTTACATGCTCGATCAGAAGCTCCCAATGTATGATTTTACAAACCTCAGTCATGAAAATATCATTAAGACTGGAGGCTGTGGACAGACTGTTTCACTGTTTGATAGTTCTGGGTAGAACAGCAGTCTGTTGCCACTGTTTCTTTATAATCCCACAAAACTTGTAATTTATATTTGAATGGTTTATATTACATAATTCTGCACAGCAAAATTTCTCTTGAGAAACAGCCCACTGTGTTAGTTAGACTTTGCCCTTTAACACTTGAACGGTGATATATGTATCATACCTGACATGCCTCAACTGGCATTCCTAGTGTTGACAGTAAAAGTAAAGCTTCCTGATCATAGGTCAAGTGGGTGTAGCAATCCATGAATTGGACTTTACTCCAACAAATATCCATTTCACAACAAGTTTTTAAACTAGATGTAATCCTGGCCTAATAAAACTATTGACTAGAATAATATTCATTTTATTAAGAATTGACAATCCATCAAGTTTATGATTTAGAAGAACTGTAAGAGTTTGAAAAAAAAAATAGCACAAGCAGAAAACTGTGAATTGTTTTTTAGCTATACACTGTGCCACCCATTCTTTATTGCTTTTTACCAATCAGAAAGTTACATTTTGCTCAAAAATATTTGTTTACTCGCAAAATACAGTGATCTCCATCTCGCATCCTGTAAAGGCATAACATTGACAAAACAAGCCTTGTCTCTGAACTCTGATATAGTAATGAACCTTCAGAGCAAACTAAGAATATATCAAAAAAAAGCTCGAAAGCTCGACGAAAATAAATAACTTTTAGGTTGAAGTAGCGCTTACATCGTAATGAATAGACCAACCTACAACCATTTATTTGATCTAATATACCAAACGTTTTATAATAATATTGAATAATGTATCGACAGGAGGGCAGTTCAGYTATATGCATTCAGGAAATGCCTTGGTACCAGAGAAATATTGCAAGAAGTCGATGAGGTGCAACAAAATGGAAGAGTTTTCAAGAAACAAGTCAGAGGAGAATATCATTGGTTGACGTTTGCACAAGTTGATGATAGAGCAAGAAACTTAGGGAATGGTTTAACTGCACTTGGGCAGGAAAGGAAGAAAAACATAGTTATTTTCGCAGGAACAAGAGCAGAATGGATGATTGCACTACAGAGCTGCTTTGCAAACTCATTTCCAGGTATTGTTTGTTGATACTGATATCACTTGGCTGTAACTACAGCTCTTAATATTGTTATTGTCTTGCCATTTAGATGTTTTCTTTACTCTTTGATTAGATGTCTGTGTTGAAACAGTTGCAAGGGTAGCGAGACTGTATGTCAACACCAGAGTGCTACATAAATRCTTGTAGCTGTCCGTTCTATTATTATTTTGTAGTTGTCACTATCTAATTTTATTATTATTTTATAGTTGTCACTATCTATGCAACCCTGGGAGATGATGCTGTTGTTCATGGTATCAATCAGACAGATGTGGAGTTTGTCATAACAGATGCAGAGCTGTTACCCAAATTAGCAGCAATAGCTCACAAGTTAAAAAATGTCAGACATATTATTTACATTGGTGAGATCAGCAAATCAGCAATGATTGACTTTCCAAGAAACATGAAAATGACATCAATGCACGACGTTGAAGAATTGGGATCAAGACCAGAAAATAGTGAGATTTTATAAATTATTATAAATTTATTATAATATATTTCAATGTTTTATTATTCAGTGTGTGTAGAGGAGTAAATGAGATTGGAAATATTTCATATTTGTTTTTCAGCTCTATTTTTGCAGTA